GTTTTTCTGAGGTATGCCAAACCCGATGCGGTTTGTTTTTACATAGGCATTATTTGCAAGCGCTCATCCTTTTGAGCCAACATGCATGAGCCTGTGCATGGTTCTTATGTGCCAGTTCGCAGTCCTGGAAGAGCCGTGGAAATTTTTTTTTTTAAAAATAGTCGTGAAAAGCACCAAAATTTTCATAGGATTTCTGAAATTTGAATTCATAATTTTGCATTGGAAATCTGATATTTTGCATGCGTCCCTCACAATACAACAACTTCTACCATGAGTGCGGTATTTTTAACACATCACAGCTGTCAGTGATTGTTTTTGTCATATTTCTGTCTTGAATTCTTTGTAGTGTTTCCTCACCAGGAACGGCAAGTACATGGATCTCAGTCCATTGCTGTCTAGAGAGTCATACTACGGCGCAGACATGATGTTTTGCCGTATTAGTTTAACTTGGTTGGTCATATGTCTTGTCTGAAAGCAGTATACTTGTATCTTCAAAACCAGTTTGTTTTGGTACATCTTGATTGAAAGTTTATGCTTCTTTCCCATAGTGTCGACCAGAGTACAAGGTGCCAGGCCTGTACGTTATCGACTCCATTGTCAGACAGTCTCGACATCAGGTAAGCCCAAGAATTACATCTTGAAGATAGTATTTTACAACCCCAGTCATCAGGCATCTTTTGAAGAGTCATTGTTGAGGTGACGTGGCAACTTACCCCTCACTGGCTAAAGCTTAATTGACTAAGGCTTAATTGAAGTTGCTTGATTGGGGCCAACAGTTTGTTAATTGAACAGATACTGTGGCATGAGTAACTGACGGCCCATTTTGCAAAACATCCAATCTGAATAACTTCAGATAAAAAATTCTGACTGTTTGGAGTCATAGAATGACCTTTTATGGATATTCAAGGAAATCTTATTTCCATTTCTGACCTGATATTTTTAATTCTGCGATATTTTTTCATGTCAGTTTGGACCCGAGAAAGATGTCTTTGCGCCACGCTTTGCCAAGAACATCGTCAACACCTTCCAGTTCCTCTTCAAGTGTCCCCCTGAGGGGCGGGCCAAGATTGTCCGTGTGCTCAACCTGTGGCAGAAGAACTCTGTCTTCAGTGCCGACATCATCCAACCCCTGCTGGACATGGCCAACCCAGAGAAAGCTGGTAAACCATTTCTGTCCACTGATAATTTAATCTGTAAAGGAAAACCTGATAGCTAAGCTCATAGATTTGCTAAGTGTTGAGGGTGTTTACCCGGCAAAGCAGGTGACCAAAGACAGGTTACCAGGGAAAGATTTTGTTGCATGTTGCTCATGATTTAAACTCTGGTATTTTTTGCTCAACACTTGTAATTTTCTTAGCAAGAGTTATTGTATTTGTGTATTAACTGAAGAGAGAGAACCCTACCAGCCATGATCCATCAGATAACTGATTTTGACTGTTGGGAATTCTGTACCTACAAAGGCAAGATTGAGGCACCTGTCGATATGTACGCCCTTTGATCTGCTCTGTATTCGCATTTATTTGCTGCGTTTCTCTCCGGTGGAGTTTCAATGAATATGCGCCACACTCGATACATACAGGCACAAGGTGCATGCACCAAAAACACGACTATGGAAAGGCACCCTAAACTTGCTGTAACTGTGTCATCCTGTGTCCCTTCAGTCAACCTGTTGACAGACTTTGACCGGTTGTAGTCCTTACTGCGCATGCAGCCTGACTGTCGGTGACTGGCCTGTGGATCAAACGGAGCAGGGGAAGAGGGTTGGATTTGCTCGTAGTCATTTCTTGCAGTAGATGGGTCAAAGCATTGGCGTTGTGTCTTGATGTTCCATGCAGCTGCCGTTGAGGCTACGGTAGCTACCCCTGCTGTGCCCAAGCACGACAAGCCGGACGTGAAGGCATGGCTGTCCCAAGCCACTGAGCCGAAAGGAGGGAAGGCCGAAGCGCCAGCCAAAGACGACACCCTGTCCACCGTCCAGCAGATCCTGCAACAAACCCAACAGCAACAGATCGTAAGCTGAAAACATAAAGTTCTAACTATGCATACAAGGCGTGGAGGTGCTAGGATTTTATACATGAGCTAAATAACTGCCGTTTTGAAGTCCCTTCAATTGTCAGTTTATGTTCTTTTTGAACACCATACAGCGATTCACGGAAGTGGGCCACCAATAGTGTGCGACGCGTTGGCCAATCACAATGCACGAAATCTGTTGCATTGAAATCTGTTGCCCATTGGGTTGACAGATTTCACGCATTGTGATTGGCCGACGCGTAAATTCTTGGTGGCGCACTATTGTGAATCATCCATATTGCCCAGATAATCAATAATAACACAGCATTTTTAAGCCCCATTATAACTATCGGTCATGTATTATAATTATCCCCGCTCTTCAGGCTGATGTCATCTAATTATTCCTGAAACCATCTCAGCTCTCTGGGGAGTAAACTAGCCCGATGGCTGCCATTTCGGGTGCATGTGACCTAATACAATAACCATATCTCCCCAAACAGATACCCATTGACTCATGGGTGGAGAGAAGCTCATAGGGGTAAAGTGGTCACAGTGTGTAACCACCTGCTAGGATTTGAATACTGGTTCCTGTTACCAGAAGCTACAAACCCTGACCACTATGTCACATCTTCCCATGTGGAAATTGGAATCATTTCCAATCATTTAAATGGCTTTCAAATCAAACTTCAAATTCAAATCAGATTTCCAACTCAGCCCTTCGATGAAATGTTTATTTGCTCCAGCAAAAGTCAAAATACTCTGTGGAGGTGAATGTAACTTGACTGGCGTCACTGTTTCTCCTAAACAGCAACAACAGCAGCTGCAGCAGTTACAGCAGCTGCAGCAGCAGTTGGAGCAGCAGAAGCAGGCCACAGACATGTCGGCCAGCGGCGGCAACACAGGGCTGGTGCTGGACAGTCACCTGGTGGAGCAGATCCAGACGCTGACCGCCTACCTGTCCACGCTGACCGGCAAGGTGGCCGGAGGCAGCGGGGGCAGTTCCAGCAGCAGCAGCAGTAACAATGCCGCTGCTGGAGGCAGCAGCAGCGCCAGCAACAGCAAGCCAGTGGAGAGTAGTAAGCCGGCAGTGCCCACACCGGTCCCGGCGCCCAGCACCGAGGCCAAGGCTCTAGGCTTCAATAAAGTGAGTTGTCTTGGTATCTTTTCGAATTCTAACAGCCAAAAGTGGTGTTACAAAGAGCACCAGGAAAACTAATTTCGGAATTGCTCGTTTCTTTAAACCTTCAATTCAAGCAAACACCAAAAAGAAAACAAGTTTTCCCTGAGAAACCCTTGTGAAAGGTAGATGTAGCCTAAAGGCATGGGTACTTTGGTAGTGTTCATAGTTTGGAAATGAGGAGGAACAAGACATTGTAGACCATAAGCATGTTAACACAAAGTGCTGCCAGCAAGTTGTGTAAGTCCTCTTACAGTGACAAGATACAAAGGCCACGTCTGCAACGGGCTTCCAGAGCTACGGCTAGGTCTATTGTCGGCGCATCTCCACGCATTTCTAATGGAGTGAAGACCTAGACCTAGCTCTAGACAAGAGATTCGGATGCAGCCAAAGTTTCATTTCACAATTTCAAAAGCATTGCGCTGTGCACACGTATATTTACTAGATTCCATGCCAACTCGTCAGAGTTCAGTGACTCCCTTGTACAAAGTTGACCCATAGCAATAATAGCTGAAGTGTAAATGTGTAAAGCTGTAATACGGCAGTAAAAAATAGTAATGTTATTTTGCCTCTTTTGAAAGTTTGTTTTTCGCGAAATGTTTTGAATTGTTTTTCTAATTCAGGCTCTCCTTGATTTTGACTACGGCGACGAAGAGGAAGAGGAGACTAAAGAGACGCACCCAGTGGCCGTCCCACAGCCCAAGGCATCGGGCATGGAGCCCAACGTGCAGGCCGTGCAACGGCTGACCGAGGAGCTGAAGAACGCCCAGAGCCAGCAGGAGTTCCTCCGCCAACAGCTGCGGCAGCAGTCTGGGATGCCGGCCATGCCTCCTGGCTATGCCAAGATGATGCAGGTACAATAAAAGCCCTTCCCCCAAAAAAAATCAAGCCATAGCTTCCTGGGTCATCCAAATTGTAAGATTTTGGAGGAAGGTAGGTCAGTAGCATTTACTTGACATGCACAGAAAATTTACCACTGGGTTCTACACAGAAGGATTTGGGAGGATTATAGAAGGTTCCATGAAAAATTCCTTGGGAGTTAAGGCTGTGTAGAGACAGTGTGTTCCACAGAGTGGAGGTTTTGTTCCCATATTCCAAACACTTGATGGGCTTTGCAACCTGTGCCCAAATGGGATTGGCTATTCCTCAGTGACAGTGCACGTTTGGAGACGTGTTCTAGTGTTGAAATACCCAGTGAATACAAGATGAATTTAGAATTAATTGCAGTGGCTTGATTTGAATAGATGTGTGGTTTAAAAGTCTCACTTGGAATACTAGGTAACATTGTCCGCTCTGGTCAGAAGAGGGCATGGGAAGTGTTGATGTTTGAAGAGGAATGTAGACTACATTAATGTTGACAGTTCTCAAAACGAGGGTGCTAGGAGCTGAATGGTCACAGATAGAGCTACTAGGTAGAAAGCCTGCAGAAATGAACTTGTAAGAGAACAAATCAAAATGTCAACAGCGAAGACTAGGTGCACATTGAGGAAGTAAGAATTTACTTCTTTCTCAACTTGCATATGTATGTCCCTTCCACAGCCACCAGAGCCCGAGGCGCCACCAGAGCCAGCCGCCGATGTGCCGGCCGTCAAGCAGGACACAGCAGACGACGAGGAGATGCTGCAGATGCAGAAGCTGCAGCAGGAGGCCGCGGCCATTGAAGAGCAGCAGCAGCAGCGCCGGTCGGGCCGACGACACCACGAGAACGACGACCAGGAGGAAGGAGAGATCGTGTCGTCCCACAAACGGTCCCGGCACCGCGACAGAAGCAGGTAACAGAGCAACTGCCTAGCTTGTCCTTCTGGTCATTGGAAGGGGAAGAGGGTTGCAAGTTATATTCCTTTGAGGGTATTTCCTTTGGAAGGTTGGGCTGTTTTGCTCTACAGAAAAGATCATTTGGGGGCACAAATCAGATGCTGTTCCTGTGGATCTGCACATATGGATCGGTAAAAGTTCGTAACGAAAAATTTCCAGGAGTTAGTGTTTGAATTTGTGGTAATGAATAACAGAGTCTCTTGGGCCTGTTTAATGTGGAAGCTTTTTGCAGACAGTGGTGACTCGGAATTTTGACGGAAGGCTGAGCTCTTTTGCTGAGTGGTTATTTCTGACAGGTTTCCCGTCATACTTAACATTATGCTTGCTTCACCTATATTCTCGGCTAAGGATAAGTTGAGGTGTCAGTTCACAGAATGTCTTTATGGATTTAATTTGCTTGAAGCTGCCTTTTTTGGCCAGAAATAAGATCATGCAAGAGCCATCTATTTCTCTTTTTTTGTGCAAGAAATCCAGATTTGGTGCCCCAATTTATCTCGGTAAAGAAGTCAAAATTGTGTCTTGAAACTACATGTGCAATGTATTTCCGTACTTATCAAAAACAGTTTGCAGCTGTGGTTAAGCAGGAAAATCTTTTAACTGAATTTCCTCCACCTTTTTTATTGCGTTTGTGTGTTGCACATGGAACTTGAACAGGCAAAGGTAGGTCTGTTGTAACTCTGACTATTCAATTACAAATATTCATGCATGCCACTATGACATGAGTTCTACGTTGTGACAGTAGAATCTGTTTTTGTGGTTTCTTTTTCCGCAAAATGAATTTTATTTATCAAAGTGAGTTTAAAATGCTAGACGGTAAGGAGGCCAGACAGAACGACTTGCATCAAATGCATCTTATGCTCAGAAAGCGTACAGTGCGTACTTTAAGCATGCTGAGCATAATATGCATTTGACAAATGTGTTGTATGTGGCCTCCTTTTCCGTCTACCATTTAAAAATAGGTGCCTCCAAGCATTGACCACATTTCTCAATTGTTTTTTGTACGGTTAGTTTAATCTGTAGTGCTGCGTCTCCAGAAACCTCACAATGGTGGTGACGGGGATTCTTTCTTGCGTAGATATGACTTTTTTTCTTTTTTTTTTGACAAATTTCATCATGTCTGACTGACTGATACTTTTGTTTTGGAAGTTGTAGACTGTTAAGTACGTGTTTTAAGCATTTCAGTGCCCATTTATTTTGTAACTGTGACCTGTGTTTCATTTTAAGAGTGTCTTTGAAAATGGCTATAATTTTGGTGTTAGAGTTTGTGGAAAGTTGCATTTTGTGTTGGCAGTAAGTTTACAAGTCCAAATTTTTGGAGTTGTACTGATTCAGTGTTCTCATTCGCAGATCCCGATCTCGGTCACCCAAGAGGAGACGGTCACGCTCCCGGTCCCGCTCACGGTCGGGCTCCCGGTCACGATCCCGTTCCAAGCGGAAGAAGCGGTCGCGCTCACGCAGCCGGTCACGGCGCTCCAAGAGGTCGCGTTCCCGGGACCGGCACGAGAGGAGGCGGGAGCGGGACGAGGAGGAGCGTAGGAAGGAGAAGGAGAAGCGGGAGATGGAGAGGGAGAGAGAGAAGAAGGGCCTGCCTCCGCTCAAAGAGAAGCATCTCAGCGGTAGGACATTCTTTCCATCCCAAAATTGAGCTGTGGTTGGTGGAAAAGCGTCACAGTTTTGTCGTTTAGTGAGGAAAATCTGTTTCATGTTCTTGTGATTTCTATTGCTCATCCTCAATTAGTCAAGCTTTTTGGTATAAAATTGTGCAGTGCTTCGGCTCAACCCTCTCAGGGACACACAGTTTCTGAAGGTATTATCCTTTCGATGCCTATCTCATCAAACATGCTTTGATGTGACATCATTTTTTATTCACCAAAGATGTCATAAAAGTCAGATGAAAATTCACCAAAGATGTCATAAAAGTCAGATGAAAATTCACCAAAGATGTCGTAAAAGTCAGATGAAAATAGCTGAAATTATTTCATTCCTTTTTTTGTCAATATGTCTTCCTCCGCAGTTTGCACCAAGACACTCTGGGTTGGGCGGCTGCCTAAGCTTGGGGCAGAGACCGAACTGAGAGCTTATCTTGAAGACTTTGGACCCATTGCAAAAGTTGATGTAAGTTGCATGTAGTGAAAACATTCATTTCAGTTGGCCTGTAGAACTGTAGGACCCTGTTCAGTGTCCAAAAGTAAAAAAGTCCAATTTAAATTGTTGCCAAATAGTGCCAAACAATTTCCTGCAGTGTCCATTAGGGCTAGGGAACGTAATTGTTTATGTCAGATCTTAAACGGCTGCATAAGTGACGCAAAGCTACCATCCTGTATACTTTGGCAGCTGGTTCCTCCCAGAGGATGTGCTTACGTCTGCATGGAGAACAGACTGGATGCCTACAAGGCCCTGGAGAGGTTGCGGAGAGGCAAGATGTTTGGAAACTCTGCCAAGGTACACCACATTATTTATGTGGCTTTATTCGTTAACCACTTCCTGCCGGGCGACCCGTTTTTGAGTACATAGGCTTTATACGCAGAGCCGGGGAGCCTGAAACTGGGACAAAAAGAGTTGGGCCTTATAACAAAAGACCGTGCTCAGCACAAAAGACTGAGCTGCTGGGCATTACCGACATTTTTTCGCTCTCAATGGTGGAGATAATCCAGCCTTGTTTTGAAATGGTATACCACAGATTGAGGCATTTAGAGCAAGCGGATTACCACCGGGGACAAAAGCGGATTACCACCGGGGACAAAAGCTCTCCACCACCGCAGCGATGAGCCACACAGCACCACTGCAAGCTAATCTGGCCCCTATTGAAAAGAGGTCAGCAGTGCACCGTGCCGGTTTCAGGAACAAAAGAATCTTACGTAACACTGCACAATCTGGGCTCTTTTTCCAAGGCTACAGGCCTGGCTGAAATATTCAAAAGTCAGTGAAGGTTGACTGTCAGCTTTAGAGCAATCCCCAAAGAATCTTTCATGTGGTATATACGGCCATTAAATGAAATGAAAACGGAAAATCTTGAAAAGGACCCGGCATCTTGTTTTGCTCAAGGAAAATCCACCCGGCAGAAAGTGGTTAACTCCTACCTACTGTTCCAACCACCAGAGTTCTACAAAAGTCTCTCTGTTTAGGCTGCTATTTGTTCAATTTGTAGCTTGAAAAGTGTGTAATGTATGATATCAATTACCATGTCTTTTGATAAGAACCAAAATTGATCAAAAGACAAAAAGAAAAACGGGTCTTAAGTCACATTTTCCTTATTCACAAGTATATTAAGCAAAGAAACTCAACCACTTGCCTCCAGGGTTTACTATCCAAAGCCGGGGTAACCGGAATCGGACAAAAGAGCTGGGCGTTGTTAACAAAAGACTGTAATTAGAACAAAAGACCAAGCTGCCGGGACCTGCCATCATTTTTCAGTTGGCGTTGGCGGAGGTAAATTCGTCACTGTTTTGAAACAGTATACCACTGTTTGCGGCATTCAGTGCCAGTGGATTATCAGCGGAGACTTAAGTACTCTATCACTTTAGTGATGAGTGATACCGTACAGCTGCGCGCTAATCCAGCCTCATTTGATAAGATGCCACTGGCATTCAGCAATGCACTAGGCCAGTTTTGGGAACAAAGGAAATTTCACAACACCAGGCTTTCTTTTAGGTGGCAGGCCTGGCTGAAATACTGGGCGTCAATGGAGGTTGCCTATCAGATTAGAGTACCACCAGACAGTCATTCGTGTGGGTGTAAACATCTAGTAAATGAAGTTACAAATTTTTGAAGAATTATGAAAATGCAAAATCTTGAAAATCCCCCGGGAACTCATCCTGCGCATGCAAATTCCACGTAGCAGGAAGTGGTTAATATCATTGTGATCGAAAGCAGCAATACTCTGCTTTCTCAACTTTTGTTTTCATTGAACCCCAGAAGGGTTCGTTTAAACCTAGCAGAATCTTTTCAACTTCATCAGATGGTTGAATCACTTTGTGCTAACCTGACTAATGATATCTTATTTAGTCTTCAGTGAAGCCACTTTTTCTCCAAAGTTTTTGGTTTGAGTTTGCAGCCATACAAGGTTGATGATTTACTTTTCCCCTATACTCAGGGGAGACTGCTGAAGGCAACCTTAATCAACCTCCTATGCTTTTCGTGTTAAACTGATGTGATTGAGCACAGCCAAGCCACTGACCCATCCTGATCTCAGTGACAGTTAATGTTTTCTGCGCTCACTTCTTCATCCTCAGATTGCTTGGGCTCCCGGAAGGGGTGTGAAAGAGTACAAGCAATATAATGATTTCTGGGAAGTGGAGAAAGGCGTGACCTATATACCGTGGGACCATTTGCCTTCAGAAGTGGACCTGAATGAGTTATCCGAAGGAGCGGCCATTGATGAGGACACCCTTCCGCCTGGAATGAAGCTTGGTAAGCGTAGCTCATATGAAATTCCTGACATCTTTTTCTCTTTAATGAGAGAAATGTTCAATGTGTTGCGTAGAAGGGTAAAGAGCTCTTTTTTTTAACTTCAGGATTTTAGGTTTCTATGAGTGTTGCATTTTTTAACAATATGCTGAAGCCCATTTACATTTTAGACTTAGTATTTAGAGCGGGGGCAGTTTTTAGCAAAGCAAAACTATTTCTCTGTGTTTGAGCAACAAAGTTGATCGACATTTTTGTTTGTAAAAAACATGTTTAATCACTTGTCAAATTTTAAAGTAGTGTTTCACTCACATGGGCAGATCCATGTCTGACAGCTCGTTGAAGTATTCAATTTCTTTTTATTTCCAGAGTTGCCAGTTGAAGAAGTTGTTGAGGACACGCCAGCACCAGGAGTAACTCAGCCTTCCCAGATCATCGCAACTGCCGTGGAGAGCCAGCCTTCACCTGCCAGCATCATGATACCTGGCCTGAGTTTAGTGAGACCTAACATGGCACAGCCCTTAACCACCATAGACCACGCAGTACCAAACACCCTTCAGGCCATGCCTATTGGGGCCCGAATACCCGGCCCAGCTCCACCCACCTCCAGTCAGCCACAGGCTGTGGTTCCCCCCGCCAGGCCTGAGATGGTCCGTATGCCCGTGTTCCAGACTGGCATGTTCCCTCCTTTTGTGGGATACAGTCCACAGATGCCACCACCGCCAGGTTTCCGCTTCCCACCTGGTTTCCAAGCCCCACCTACCACAGCTAACACCCCTGTGAGTGCTGTCCCACCATCAGGTGTGCCTCCACCTTCACTATTTCCCAGAGGAGTTCCACCTCCTACTAGCCAACCAGGCCTACCAGGAGCCCCTGCTGTGAAAGCAGCTGCCACTGCTGACTCTAACAAACCAAGCACAAGTGACGACAAGCCTGACTTTAAAATCCCGGGACTTGGCGGAGATCCTGTGTCCATTAAAACACAGGAAAGCCCATCCCATCTGCAAGGCATGCCACTGATAGGGGTACCACGTCCAGGCTTCCCCATTTCTGGGGCTGCTCTGCAGCGTAACATGCAGCAACTAGGGGGCACCCCAACCAGCCTAATGGGAATTCACCCAGGAGCCCTGCCACCAGGATTCAGCCAAGACATAAGGCTAGGAGTGCAGCCACCCATACTGAGGCCACCTGGGCCTGTTACCGTTTCACAACCAGAGAATAGTAACTCTGATCCAGCCAAACAGGCTAAGAATGATGAAGGCAGACCATCGACATCTGGGGCCAACGAGAAGGGTGATATGGGACCACCACAAGGTATTTTTGCAGTGCCAAAGCCGCCAACCTCACTTCCCAGTAAAATCAAAGATTATTTGGGACAGAGAGTCCCCTCTCCAGGAATGCCCATCATGCCCAGTAAGAAGGATGTTGACATGAGGGAAGAAAAAGTACCCTTGACTGGTGCCAATCACTTGGAAGGGGGCTCTGCTACCGGTAACCCTGATCAAGATAAGATGGGACATCGTCCTCCAATGTCCCAAGAGCATGTCCTCCCCGATGGCAGTCGATTCCCTCCTGGCATGCGTCTGATGAGACCAATCATAGGTATCCAGGGGCAGCCACTGATACAGAGAGCCGTCGCCCCAGGATTCCGGATGAGACTTCCAGGACCAGGACAGCAGTTTGCCATGCAGGGACAGGTGATTCGCATCCCAAACCAAGGGATGCAGCCAGGCGGTCCGCAGCTCCAGATGATGGGGATGAGACAGATCCATCCAGGAATGATCGGAGGGTCTGTCCGAGGCATGATCCCACCTCAGGGGATAGCTACCTCTGGAGGAATTCACAGGCCAGGAGGTGTGGCTCCACCTGGTGGAATGCCTCAACCAGGTGGAATGCCACCTCCTGGAGGAATGCTTCCCCAAGGCAGTTTGCAGCCTCCTCAAGGGGGAATTCCTCCCCGTGGAGCCATGCCCCCACCAACCGGAGTGCCTCCAAACAGCAGACTACAAGCAGCCAGAGGCAACCAGGGGGGACAGCAGGAGGCAGAAACTCGTGAGCCGTTCCAGCCAGGCATGAGAGGCAGACCTCCTCAGATTGAAGGGGGTCGGGTAGACAGTGAGCGCAACCAGGATGCAGTACCCGAGAGGAGCGGAGCTGGACGCAGTCGATGGGGACCTCCTGTGCCTCCTGCCGCTGAGAGAGACCGGATGCTACCTGACCGAGGCAGACCTGCCCCAGAGCCCTTGATTGGGAAAGGAGACAAGGATTTTAGTGAGAGGGATGTTGACATGCGAGAGAGGAAATGGCCAGAAAGGGGATGGCATGATCGTGACGATCGGGAGAGAGGTGGGATTGGAATGCGTGACCAGGATTGGAGGATGCCACCTGGTGGACCAAGAGGGCCAGATTGGAGCCGAGACCGAGATGACCGAGGCTTTTTGCGGCCTGATGATAGAGATATACGACGGCCAGACTTTGGCAGGGAGTGGAAACGACCAGGAGACCGAGACATGGAGAGGGACCATTTCCGTCCAGACCTGGACCGCGGCCGGGAAGCAGAGAGGAACCTAAGAGAGCGGGAACCAGACAGAGGTGGTTTCCGGGATCGTGACCGGGACTTTGGACGAGGAAGGGATAGGGATCGTGAGAGAGATTTTGACCGAGACAGCTTTAGGAACCGTGACAGGGATAGGGATCGTGACTGGAGAGATCGTGACCGCGAGAGGGATAGAGATCGCCGGGATCGTCGTGATGACAAACCACGTGAAGGAACCAAAGAGCAGATGGCAGATGACAAAATTGTGCCGCAAAAGAGTCAACAACCTTTAGATTCAAATCCACAACAATCCCCGAAGCCCTTACTGAGCCCACCACCCAGTGCCCAAACATCAACTGGAATTCTAAGAAAACCCTCAGAAACAGCTCCTCAAGAAGCCACTAGTAAGCAACAAACTCCTGAAGCTGGTGGGTCGGCACTCCCGGTTCCTGCACAGGCTGCACCCCCGGTTCCTGCTCAGGATGCACCCCCGGTTCCTGCTCAGGCTGCACCCCCAAGATCGCCTCAATTTCCAGGACTGCCCTCGGCCCCCAAGGAAGAGCCCACAGCAGCCGCTGCTGCACCAGAGCCCCACAAACTCAATCCCCTTGCTGAAGCCTTTGTGCCAAGCGGTGGTGAAGAGCCATCAAAGGCCAAATCCCCCAAGGGACTCTACGCAGATGTCCCAGACCCAGTACAATCGCAAACACAGTCACCTCAGCGTGCACAGGTTTCTGAATCAGAGCAGCAGAACAATGGCCCCATGGGCTCTGCTAATAACCAGGTGAATTTGGGTAATTCATTGAGTGAGGGCAAAGCAAAAGAAGTTCACTCCGCTGAGAATGCAAGTCAAGCTGCCACTGGACAGACTGACTCGGGAAGTGCAGTTAATGCCCAGGATAAAGAGAGTACGTGAGGTTCCCCTAGTGCTAGGATATGGCTGGACTGAACGTTTCCCCTGAAAATGCTCCAAAGGCCCACTAACGTTTGCCTTCAAAGAAGGGCTTGATCTTACATAAGTTAATGGGAAAGTGACCAGCAAACTGATGCCCAGACCTGTAGTAGGCTTTCATAGTTCCCTCTGTTTGAGGCATGCTTTGAGATCTGCTTGTGCACTCTTGTGAGCTGAAAAGCAGCCCCGACCAAATGGAGGGAAACTAGCTTCCCCTGACGCTGAATGATTCAACTTCAGTGTCTTTCCATCACATTTTTGACAAGATTTTCTTTTGAATTGATTTTTGCCCACTTGTTAAAGCCTAATTATCTTATGCTGTGTGAGTATGTTACTGCCGAAAGAAGTTCAACAGTGCAAGATTTCACAAAATACTGCTTGGAGAATGTGCCTAATTCCTGTCTAGTTCTTCCTCGAAGGAGGGGTGCAAATTGCTAATCCTTTATCCATTATCGTCAGAGTTCCTGATGTCACCTCATCGCCTAGAAAAGTGCAATGTTAATGTGATGCCATGCCAAGTTACCACGGCGAGGTTGCATACTTGTGCCATGTGCAAGATTGATTTAACTACAGTTAATGCTGAATGTGTCAGCAGCAGAGTATTCTCAGCACTTTGAAATGGATTATGGATTAAATAGCGTTTCCAGATTTAATACCACATGCTGAAAAATATACTGATGTCAGGTATAGATACCAAACGCATCCAGGAAAAGGGGGATACATGTAAATACCTGTTGAGAAGGCCAGCCTTGTGAGGGGAGTAAAAAAGCTGTCATCTAATCTACCATTTTTAATTTGAGAAGTTCACTTTAGTACTTATATATAAATTTCCGAATATTCCTTTTTTTCTATTTCCTGAAATAATGACTCAAGGCCGTGAGAAGTGGTAGTGAGGTTGAAGAATTCAGTTTTACAGATTCTTCCATGCTATCCTCGCATCTGCCAAATGAAGACAAACTTGGTTTCTAACTATTGGCTTCAGATACATACTGGAAATGACGAAAGGCGGGTAGTACTGGGAGTACGGGAATTGAAGAGAGCTCCGAGATTGAGCAACATTCGTTACTCTGTGAGACACCGAAAGTCGTTAAGGCCTAATGATGCTTCGATCTTGTGCATGGTGTATGCTTCCTCTTTGGCGTCTTAGACAAACAGCGGTATTATTGAGCGGTTTGATATCACTCTGTTGTATTGAATCAAGAACCCAAATTTGTTTTTAAAGGTGTAAAAATTATCCTTTTTAATTCAATTTTTAATAAGTTGACAAATTGCGTTTCTTACCATACTTGCTTGGGCAGTGTAAATGCGAAGAGGAAAAGGCCCTGTGTCTGGGATAATTGGTTGGTTGGGGTGGGGGTTTGCATTCTCGATTATGGCTTTTCAGTTATGTGTCATCTGTTGATTACTAAACTGTTCCAAAAATGGGTACCCCCCCTTTTTAAGTGTAAATGTATCTGCTCAAAATCTTGGCTGACATCATTCCTGTGTCTTTTAAATGCTCCCCCCCCCTTTCGCAAGGCCATGCTTCAGTCCCCGATGTACCGGTAACCTGCCAAACTTACTGTTAAAAGTTCTGGGGCCAACCCAAATCTTTGAACTCATGGTTGCAGCTGCTTTCAGTACAGAGTGGAACTTGAATCCCAACCTGTAGTGCATCACAGACCCTGTGGTGATGAGTTGGTGTCTTTGGAAGACATTAAAATCTTCAGTGGCAAATTTTATACGATAAAAGAAAGTCCTTGGTGTGTTGGCTGTTGATGTACTTATGTAGATTGTTGTTCCAAGTAGTTGCAAAATGTGTTAACAATATGTGTGATAGCTACTTCAGTTTCTGTCCCTTAAAATCAATACAAAAATGAAAAGGCAATTACACTAAATTCGTATGCACTTGTGTATTCATCTTTCGCACATTGAGCAAATTCCGAGGATTTTTTTAATGTTATAGTTAGCGCACAGTGTTTTGAAGGCAAAACACTGATCAACAGTTTTGGGTCGACAGTCAACATTAACAGCAGATTTTCGAACATGCAGTGACGCGTCAAAGAGGGGAAATATTGTAGCGCAAACCTTGATGCGGCTTTTATTTTTGTTTTGATTTAAAACTGATCTGGCATTGCAGACATTTATCTTTTTTTGTTTGATTAGTGTACAAATGAGTTCCAACAAGTTGATTCTGTTCATTTTTGTTGTGATTGCGTATTGTTAAAAATGTTTTTGAGGAGTTGAAATTATTTAGCAATGGGAAAACTGTAAAAGAAGTTACGTTTGTATAAAAGTTGAACGGAAATACTTACGCTGTAAATACTAAGCTTAATAATTGTAGCTTTTTTGAATCAATTTGTTGAGCTCATTTCTATACAATTGTTATCACAATCTTGGTTAACCATTTACAGTAGTAAAGCTTAAAAGGTAAGGTTTGTGAATATTAACTCGGTCTCAAATTGAGACTCAGCGGATGAGCAAGTCGACCAACCAAGATTGGTCATCAAAACGTCCGTCAAGGCACCGCCACCAAACGGAAGGAAAGGACATTACAGCGCACGTCGCAAGTGATGGTTCAAGGACCTTCAAATGTGTTGGAACTTTCGGCAAGGCTGGCACGGGTCTCAAATCGAGAGCCCGTGTTTCACGGGAAGTATAAATGGATTGTGGCTTGTATGAAAGGGAGGGGATATGCATGCTGTGTTCACTGAACTGTGTATATATACATGTGTACATGTAATGAACGACTTGGTGAAGGACCGGTACATGTCCTTGAAGCTGGGAAGAATGACGCCAAAGCGGTAACGCCTCGAGCTTCAAAGTTATGCAGAAGATTTCGTGAATATGCATGTAACTGCAATGTATACGCGGTGAACCCCGTTGTATATAATCGCTAGTTTGTGTACATACGCGCACGTACTTGTAAATATTGTGCTATGTGGTGTGTTCTTCATTTGTTCCAAAATTGTCCAACACAACTATTGTGCAGCATCTTGAGAAAAAAACTAACATGATGCTACATTACATTACAAATGATGAAGAAATTCCATGCTCGGAGAAGCTTATCCATGTACTTTGTGAAAAAAGCAGCCGAGGCAAAGGAAATCTACCGCCCTAAACCAAGTCCATGATATTTCCAGAAAAATTAACTATCATAATTTGTTAATACTACAGAAACAAAAGTTAGCTTCATGGAATCACCTTTTTAATAGGGAGCGGCTCTTCAAACAACGTTTGAGTGACGCTCTTTAAGTGGTCGCCTTTGTAAGTTAGAAATTTACCTTTGCTGATTTGATGTGAAATTGAAGCCTTTTAAAAGTTGGAAAAGGAGGCTTCTGTGAAACAAGACTGTGCGTGTTGAACAAAGTTGAAATTTTATTAAAAGAAGTACAAATAGGTTCAGACAGCTCTGTTGCTGGTACCGAAACACATTACCCAATGAATTCAGAAGCAAAACTAGACATTTAATCATGCACAACTGCTGTTTCTTTCCATTGACGTAAAGCCCTGCAGGTCATTGGTCAAGTAAAATGCTTACTGTGTATTGCGTTGTAGCTAGAACAATTGTTATTAATATCAAGAGTGGTGATGTAATACCCTTAAAGTTTCTATTTGTTAAGGTGAGTTTTCATTGCCGCAGACTGCGACTTTTTTATTCTCTTTTGAGTGAATTATTTTTGTGATTGATCAGTTTTGTTTAAATCCTAGTTTTTTCCCGAAAGTTTTTTGTTCGCTGCGTTTGTTTCCGTATAACGAATGTAAAAGGCAACGTTGGGGTGCAGTTGAGGCATCGCCTGCGAGGCGGGTGGTCCCAGGTTCGAGACCCGTCCTGGGCAGAGATGGCCAGTGACGGGGAAACCGCTGCGCATCAGAGTTCCATGGTGGCTGTCTAGGGAACAAGACAAATAAAATGGGTGCTTTTTCAGGTAAGCGTGCAAGCAAAAAAAAGCCTCTGCTTTACCACGGTGGAGCCGAACCCACTACATTCAGTGCGAGCGCTAGAATGGCCTAACTATTTCGCCAATACGGTCATCTTAGGAGATTTAATAAGATACGTTTAAACCTTCCGTCTAGATCAACGCAAACTGAATTTCATCGCTCATGCGCCCTTCTGATATCCGCTGCTCGGCACAGAGGGGGCCCAGTCCCCCCCCCCTAAAAACGGACGAAGTTATATTGAACAAGGCTAACAAAAGCTCCCCCCAAAAAAACAAATGAAACCTAGTGCCCGTTATAAGGTGTTGGTGCCCCCCCCCATTAGTATGGATGAGGAAATATTAGCCTTAGTTGGCGCACATGCCATTTCGCTCTTCCAGCACTTCAAAATTAGTAACATCTGCAAGTCCATGCATATACTTAGTCTTGTGATGCGACTGTTTTGTTTTTTATAAAAGAGAAACGCTCCCCTTAATTATGATGTTTTAAGAAAAAAATCTTTTCATTCGAGAGATGTATTCTTTTGCTCGGATCAATTGAAGCACTGTTCTTAAACCAAAGGTCGCATGTCGTCTTATACTGCTTTTAGTAAGGTTCGGGGTATTTTCCCCTGAAAATTGAACTTTGGCTTTTCATTGTAAACCTTTCCTGGTGTTTTGTAAGAAATATTTTGATGTCAAGTACGAAACTCAAGAAAAACTATGTTCAAATATTATGACCTCCAACTGTTCTAGAGAGAAAAATTAGCTTGTGCGCCATTAAGTCTTTTTTTTTAAATAGTTTTTTTAGCAAAATACCTAGGACTTTTTTTTCTATATCTCAAACTTTGTTAACTTCATAACGGTGCAACGAAGCTGTAAATAAGGTGTTTGATTTCAAATTCAGATGGAAATGTTCTGAAATATAAAAAAACTACTTTGGTGTAATTTTTCAATCCATCCAAAGATGCAGTTTTTTTGGGGGGGGGGAGGTTTGAGAAAAACAAAAGGCTAACCTCGAATAAAAACGGTAAAATGGAAAATCTTCCTATTTTCTTAGATCATCGAATTTTTACGCTTTATTCAGAAATTCGTGCTGAGAAACGTCTCAAAAAAGTTAATATCTCATCAGAATTGTGGAGTTAGGACTGGGATATTAAAATGACTGACAACGATACGTGACTCTCTGCTCCCCATTTATTAATTAATAGAAAATAAATTACGTGCGTGTAAACTTAATTCTTTTCTTTTTCATAAAATAAAACAAAACAAAATGTTTTGTGCGGGCAGATGCTTGTGTTTGCCCAGCTGAACGAATCAGTGGAATAGGTTGTGACTTGAGTCTGCTAACTCTGCTGATTACGAAGGCCACTGGTCTTAAATCAAGCCTTACCTCACAGAGGCCTAATTGAGTTACTTGTAATTGCCTGAGATAGAGCCTGCCCTAGTTCGGTTTAGTAAGCGGAACCATGCGTGAATGTAATGGTTAAAACCATATCTTTGGTTGAAACACATGTTGTGTGCATGCCTATCCATGAGTGGAAACGTGTAATTAACAAGGTGCAATCCACCCACTTAAAAATTTACTTGTTTCCTCTAGCTTTTTAAAAGCTCCATGCTCTGAGCGCGCTATTGGGGTACCTGATGTACGTTTAAAACGTACGAGGTATAAATAATTATGTGCAGGCGTGGCATACATAGTGTGGACCTCTGCACAAAAGAAGTCCACATTATGTAGGGTGTGATGCCGTTGTGTGGACTTTCACACGTCCACACAATGTTTTCTCCTCTCTGAAAAACAGTTTCAGAGGCTTTTTTGTGGTCAAGGTTATCCGTGGCAAAATGAAGAGGAACAGTCCAGGAAATCATCATCAAAAATCCAGCTCGAAGGAGTTATCCTAGTGGGAGAAAAAGGAGCATTTTCCTCAAGTTACCTTAACCACAGGAAAACAAAGGAATGTACACACTTTGTATGTGAAACAAGTGTGCGTGAATGGGCTTCGTACTAATACGTGACATACATCGCTTAGTATACTCAATTTGAAATGGCGTTTGTCCAATGACTAGCTACGATTTACCGCACGAAAAATGTGATTTTTTTCGATTCAAATTGTAGGCCTTTAATGAATCAACGGGCCTCCAACCTTACACAAGACCAGGAATCTATAAGGATAAAAATTTCAAATCTATGTGCATAGGCCTACTTGCGAAAAAAAACTTGCGGTGACTTTTACAGAAAACTTCCTTTCGCCCCTACACTCAGACAGAGTGTATGCGGGAAAAATTTAAATGAGGCTACAAGGTCCATTTTTCATTACAGTACCTGCAATTCTTTCTAACCGTACGTCACGTGTCATTCAAGTAATACTAATAATAAATGTTGTGCTCATTCTTAGCTCCAAACAGTTTTAAGTGCAAGAAAAATAGTATTGAGCTGTAAGGCTACCATTAATTTCTCCGCGCATGACACGGATTATGTTCATTCTTAATTAAGTTCACTGTACCTATGCACCTTAGTTGGAAGCGCTCTTCCAAATATACACCACATTACTTATTAGCCTGTGCTGGGACGATGATTGGTAAAGATTTGCGAGATCATCATGCGAAGCGCTTTGATTGGTTCACAATCTGGTTCGTAAGTGTGACGTCACTTCAGTTTAAACCACGCCCACTGCACATAGAGTTACATGGAACTTGAAGTTAACGCGCAACTTGTCTGTTTATCCAATGGGAGCGTAGTGCATGCATGGCACGTGTGAAAAGCTACAGAGCGCGTGTATTTGCTTTATTTTGCAGTCTAAGGCACGTCGAATCTTATAATTTCTGTCGCGCGAACAGTCATTTTACTCCTACTCCTAGTGGCAGTAGCGCGCCGTGGGAGCATGTGGCCAGAATAGTTAATAAGAGCTTGTCCCTAAAGCTCAGCCATACTGTGCTGTCGGAAATATACCCACATGGTTCTATATCTCCAGCTCACGTATAAAAATCGTGTTCCATAATGACATCACCGTATGGAGTGCACAAATTTTGTCTCTAGAGACAAGTTAGAACCCTGGGCCTCTGGTATAAGTCGTGAAAGACTTTACTGGGTAGGTACTTACTAGTTGCAGGCATGGCCTATGGTAATTGATTCTGGTGAGGATTTTCCTTCTCTCAATCATTTCATGGGCCTTTCTGTCTGGCATGTCTGGGGTATTAATAGAAGTTGCCATAATCTGTAAGGAATACGTTCGTGACGTTGTTTCCAACCTCCATGTTTTAACGTGAGAAGGAGACCTTGTCACCTTTGTCAAAAATCCACAGCAGGCTTAAGTAGGCTTAAGTTGGCATGCTTTTTCAGTAGGCCTATCTGATTTATATTGTGAAATTGTGCATGCTTGATCGCCTCGTTTACTTTTTGTCTCGAAAAGGATTAAATGCTTAGGGTGGAGTCTAAGCAGCCGTAATATTCCACTGCCAGTTACTGAGCACTTCGAGTTCTGTTGTCAACATGGCAGGCAGTGCACCCTTACAGACAGGCCTAGCTTCCCTAAGGCCCAGGGGCTGTACGACCCACTGCTGGAGAAAGACATCTGTGGGGTGGGGTTCATTGTCAACATACACAGCATCAGGTCTTGAAAGGTAAGACTGGATGTGTATATTTGATATTTTTTTCTGAGTGATTTAGTCCCTCTATACATGAAGTTGAGGATATACTCCTTGGTCTGTGTGTATATATCGGCCAATCAATTACTGTTTGAAAATGGTATACAGGAAAAACAAATGTTTTATTATTTACTGTTTTTAGTACATTAAAGGAAAAAAGGAAAATCTTATCCTTTACCGTTTTTCTTTTGTGAATCCAAACAAGGAAAAAGGGAAAAACTGTCCTTTACTGTTTTCTGTTTTTGAATTTATTAAAAGAAATAAAAGAAAAAAAAAGAAAATTGAACTCCACTACACTGTTTACTGATTTTTTATCTGAAAACAGGATAAAGCTAGCTTTTCCATTTACCATTTTTAAACTGAAAAAAGGGAAAATCATTACCTTTTACCATAATATAATCCCGGATTGATTTACGGGAAAAGTCCTTGGAAAGATTACCGTCAACATTGGAAAGCATGCGCAAAAGCAAATGGCTGGAGAAGTTGCACAATCACCTGTATTTTGGCAGCAAGTTTAAAAGGAATGACACTGAAAGTGGTGGGACGTTGTAACCGGGAAAGCAGGCAACTGCAATATAAGGAATTAGTTGACCTGCTGGGCGTACAGTTTGGTCTGGGTCAAATGACCGAAAATTAGTTGATGGAATTGCAAACACGAAGACAGGGACCAAAGGAATCCCTGAGAGAATAGAGAACCGAAGTGTGACGTCACTGTGAACCAGAAAGTGCAATGCAAACGAATGGAGTATGCGCGCGTGTTGGTTCACGCGCTGGTTCTCTCGCTAATGCCTTTTACATACTAATTGTGCAGGTGACGTGTTCACTTTGGACTCAGGGTACTAAACCCAAGTAAGAGTGAACGTGTATTACGTTCTGAGACCATAGCCGGCATCTTCACAGCGGTCAAAGCAAGTGACATACATTTAGAACCAGAGTCTGCAGAAAGATCTGTATTGGGAGCAGAGGTCCCACCTCATCTCAAAGAGCTTTACGATAGAAGTATTCAAAATTTGGAACCAAACTTCCACAATGAGGTCAAGAAACTTGCGGTTGAGTTTGGTGATGTCTTCTCTGAGGGTGAAGCCAACCTAGGTCGGACAGACCTCGTGAAGCATACTATATATGGGCAATGTCTGACCGATTAAGCAACAGTTGTAGAGGCAACCCGAATGCAATCAAGAAAAGATCTCCCAACAGGTGAAAAACCTCTTGGATAGAGGAGCAATAGAACCCGCAGAAAGCCCCTGGGCACCAAATGTGGTTCTTGTTAACAAGAAAGATGGCTCGAAAAGATTTTGCATCAATTACCGATGGTTAGATTCGGTTACGATAAAAGAGGCATATCCTGTTCTAAGGATAGACGACTCCCTAGATGCCCTGTCTGGAGCAAAATAGTTCTCGACATTGGACCTATCTTCCAGATGTTGGCAAGTTGAACTTGACAACAAGGCAAAACAAAGACTGCATTTGTGGTGGGGGAGGCTTATACCACTGGCGAGTAATGCCCTTCGGACCTAGCAATGCTCCAGCCACATTTGAAAGATTAATGGAGCGAGTAGTTGCAGGGCTGCAATGGCAGACTCTGCTGGTATACCTTGATGATGTGATTGTACGTGGGAAAACAGTCACCGAAGAGATTGACTGCCTTGAGGTACATATATTCAGCCATTTCCGGAAGGAAAAGCTGAAGCTGAAGCCGGCAAAATGTTTCTGTTTCAGAAAACAGTGAAATACCAGGGTCAGGAGGTAGTAAGTACTGACGAGGTAACTCAAAGGAGTGATTTGAAAGATAACATTGTGTCGGTAGACGAGCGGTTGGAGACCCCTCTAAACTCTTGTAAGGATAAAATGGGCAATCCAAAACCTGCAGATTTTCAAGATTCTGTGAAACCCTCCAACATAGTGATGGGTACATGCAGGTAACCAGTGAAACAATAGCAGTCACTGTGAACAACTCATAAATTGCCAGTGAGGTATAGGGATTAGAGGGTAGTGTTGGTTACCATAATCCCTCTGTTCTTGTGTCTTGTTTCAGACCTTGCTCGACTATGGCTACCCCAGAAGACCTGGACACCACCAGGTTCCTTCATTGCAAGAAGCGCCAAAAGGTATTTCTACAAAAGAGGATTGTCATGGGCCTCCAATATACCTTGCCTGTCATCGATGCACTTTCCAGTTCAAACACCGGGATAATCTGCAAAAGCACTACAGGAGGGCCCATGAGCAGTTCCTTGGTGACCTCCAGACCAACGACCATCGGCAGCTCGCCGGTCTGGTGCAGAGCACTGAAATCCCTCCTCAGCCCACATCGTATAAGGTTTTGAATGGAGTTGAGATCCCTGTGGCTGAAGAGTTGGTCATTTCTCCATCAGTGTCACTCCTGCCAGCAGAAGCCGCCAATCAAGGCTCGACCACCAACGAGGAAATCCCTGTCACACCAGCTACATGTACCAAGATGGCTTCAGTGCCAGCACCGGTCACTGGCAAGTCACTGGCCAGTGAAAATAGCAAGGTGGATAATTGTTGTTGAATGAGCTGACATTGACACATTTTCTTTTTTCAGGCATTTTTGTGATTTAAGATAAAGCCATCAATTTTAGCTGTCACTTGTGACGTTTGCAAGTTAGGCACACAGAGAAAGTGAAAGCTGAATGTACTCTTCAAGGTTTTTGTTAGAAATTTCCGGTTGAATGGGTATTTATTTCTAGCTCATTGCATTTTATTTGTCTCATCAAATTCATAATTTATCAACAAACAATTGAAGCCAGTTTAGATTGGTTTTGTTCATTGGTTCATGCTTTTGGTGAGTCTCTAGTTTCATTCAGCTTTCTATTATTGTTCAATTGACATCACTTTCTCGATTGAGTCAGGCTCCTCTGGTCTTGTACCTCAGTGCACTCGACAGAGTCTGTAGTGAATGTTCCACTGCTGTGAATGAGGGTTACACACTGCTAGTTCTGTCCGATAGGAAAGCTGGACCGTTGGATTGAATGTTCTCCCAAAGTTAAGTGGTCACCATGAGAAGGCGTGTCGGGCAGCTTTGTCAGTGTTTTTGAGTGGTCTATTTGTCTTGTATAGTTCCCTGTTGGCTCTTGGCGCAACCCATATCTCATCAAGACCCGCCAGTGGCTCCATGTCTGCCTCGTCAAGAACAAGCTTTATAGGAAATTTTTGGAGAAGTTCGAAATATCAAGCAAATTTAAAGTGTATAGTTTTTGAACGTTGCATTTGTAATAAGGGTGTATCCAACAAAGTCTTTAATGACACTATTGTCATTCTTGAGAATATTGCTCCTTACGCATTTTGAAGGAGGTGACCCTTCTCATTTTGCGCGACAAAGCCCCCAACTCGTTCCTGAAAGTGGGCAAAGTTTTTCCCAGACTTCAAGCAAAAGCCAAAGAGGTAAGTTTGTGACATCCCCAAGGTGTTGGTGCTTTAGCTGGTGAGCACATTTCAACTTTATTGAAGTTTTTCTGCAGATGATGCATGAGGATAATTTCGCATTCATCTGCAGCATGAAACCTTTATGCCATCGGAGACTGGATAGAAACAGGTCAACCTAAAATGGCCAATGTTTATGAATATTAGACTCTTTCTTTCTTTTTTTTCGTGCTGCAGAATTGGAGGTAAAAGTATCACGGGGGAGGGTGGGGAGTGTGAAGATTGCTACATCTGCGACGACCCCAGCAACAGCGTACGCCCCGCCATCAAGCATCCATGGGACAGTTTGGAGTCACAATCTCCTACCTGGCTCATGCTGATGAGCTGCAGATCAAGATGGCACAGGGAGCCAAGCCCGGGGAAGGAGGTGACCTACCAGGCCACAAGGTATACAAAACAATGGCTTCTTTTAGCCAACCCTTAAGTTACAAACTTTTTTATATTACACTTAATTTCTCTTGTAAAAATAAGGTATCTGGAAATGAGTTAATAGTTTATTTGTCTTCCATTTCTAATTTTTACCCCTTCAAATTTCCCCACCACTTTTCTTTGAATACTTTTGTTTTTCTCCTGTCTTCAATTAAAAAATGTAGAAAAAAGTATAACATACAATGATGAATTTCTTCCTTGACGAATCTGTAATAGAAAATCTTTGATAAAAGATTTGGAAAAAGGTATTTTTAATGAGACTTATGAAATTTGAAAAGTCTTGCTTGAATTCATGAATGGTATTAATTTCATTCAAGTTAGCTGAAAATTTTCCTCATGAATTCGAAAGGGTTCTCTTATTTGAATGACAGTGTTTATTCTCAGAGGTTGATTTCCTGGAGAGATTTTGTGTTGGCACCCATTTTATAGTGATGTTTTGTATTTTTTATCCAGGTGTCTGACAACATTGCCAAAACTTTCTCCTCCGTTCCAGGGGTGGGGTTAGTCTCCCCTCCTCCTCATGACATCTACTCCATCGGGGACTTGGCAGAGTTGATTTACAACTTGAATTACGTTATTGATGGCAAGAAAGATCACGTTTCATTGGTCATGGAGATCACCAGTCAGAGCAGCTGAGGTTCCGCATCGCCAAGTAAGTCAGGATGGGCTTCATGTAAATTGTCATTTTTGTTTAAACATCTGGTATAGTTGTAGTTTGACAAAACTGAAATTATTGTTTGCAAGGAAATTAATCTTAAAAACGACCAATTTATAAATTGTCTACAAAATTACTCACTCTTGCCAGTCCCCTTGCTTTCTGAAATTGAAACTAAGGCTGCATCCGAATCTCTTGTCTAGAGCTAGGTCTAGGTCTTCCCTCCATTGGAAATGCACGGAGACGCGTAGACAATAGACCTAGCCGTAGCTCTGGAAGCCCATTTCAGACACGGCCTAAATTCAAAGTTTATTTGAAATTTAGCAGGTGTTTCCACTGACTTAGGAGCACTTGTAATTTCTATGTGCAATCTTTGTCCCATATTTTCTTACCTGTTTGTTATTGGGTTAGTCATTCTGCTTGTACAGAGTCATGCTGTTGCCTTGCTGTTTCCAACAGGTAAATGCATCTTGCTTCCATGTGGTGTCTTTTTTTACCTTGTTTCTTGATCATTTTAACAAATTTCTGTCTGGTCTGTAGAAACTAGGGTTTGCCGGATAAGTCCACTGAGATCAGGCTGCATGGATCGGCTGGTCAGGGCTTCTGTGCGTTCCTAGCCCGTGGCGTGCACTTGGAACTTGGAGGGCGACGCCAGTGACTATGTTTCCAAGGTAACCAACACCCCTCCCCCAACTCTTGCATACTAATTTTTGTCGTTATTTGCATTCCTGTTTATATTCTGACTGATTAATATCATGATTTATGATATCCAGTGATTTATGCTTACAACCTTCATAGAAAATACTCCATGCATTGACTGTACATAATTTTTGGTGCTTTGCCCTGTATTTACAAGTCGGTTCAAGGAATTTGTCCTAAGATGCTGTTGTATGTTTTACCCCAAAATCTCATCTTGTCTTTTTGCCAACTAATAACAGAAGTTTTTACTCTCACAAGTAAAGACCACTTCTAATTAGAAATACCATTGTAAGTGTACACTTTGCGTTCAGAAGTGCAAACAATGTTTAAACAGCTCCCTTACAAACCTGGCAAGCAGTTTTCAGAATGACGCCTGAGCTGGACCAAGAGAGGGCGCAATTTTCTAGCATCGGCAGCTCCTTTGGTTGGAACTGCCACTTGTGTGGCTCACAAACGACTATGGGATGCACGCATTACGGGCACCTCGCTAACAGCAAAATGAACACTGCCTACTGACGTAGCTATTTTCCAACCAGTGTGAGGAAGAGCCGCTGCTCGAGGTGGACACTAACATCCAAGTCGAAAAGAACAAACCGCATTTGCAGTCATTTACATCCTTTGTCTTTCTGTCTGTCGGGGTTTGACGGGAGGCACTGTGGTCCGCCCGAGGACATGCTGGCTGACTTCAAAATGGAGGAGAACATCATCGTGGGCAAAGTGTGCCTGTACAGAGCAACGAGAGGAAAACGTGGGGGCAGAGAGATTCTGTGGCCGAGACTTTGATGCAACTGCTGTGTGTGAGGTACCTGTGGCAAGATTCTTAAGACGTGTGGTGAATAGAATTTATTGTATTCTTTACTTATGCAACCTGTTTTTGCACACAAATGAAGTTATCACAAAACAATCTAGGCTTGAATTTTTAATAAGGAGTTTTGTTTTTCATTTTTTTTCGGGGTGTAGGGAATGATGGTTGTGAGCACATGACCGGTGGACGGACTATCATTCTGGGGCCAACTGGTTGTATCTTCGCCGCTGGAATGTCAGGAGGAATCACCTATGTTCTTGATAGGTAAAATTCTATTCATTGAACTGGGCTTGTGCGGTTTGAATTTTCTCCATTCTCAATGGACTCCACCTCCCGACTATGTCTTATTTTTCTTCCTTCGATTTGATTGGACTTTTTACATTTGGAAGTAATGTGACTTGAACTGACCTAGGTGTCATTTGAGCACTTCAGTGGAGCTTTCAATTTTTATTTGTATCAATTTTTTTATCTTACTTGAAAAAATGTTTTATTTGCAAATGTTGCTTTTAATTGTAACTTCATCTTTTTTGAAAAAATGTTTTATTTGCAAATGTTGCTTTTAATTGAAACTTCATCTTTTTCTCCGGGTCAGGAAACGAGGAGTCAGTCCACCCTTCGACTGGTTACCAACCAATAGACTTTACTTTCATCCTGGAACATCTCCAGAAGTTTGTTGAGCTGATCTTGTCAGAGGTCGCTGCTAAGATCCTTGCCAGCTGGGATGAGGAAGTGTAGTGTTTCATCAAGGTAAACTTTTTGGAATTTGTGTAAATTCAGGGGAAAAAATTTTTCAAAAGAGACGAAATTTTGTCGCCTCGTGGAGCAGCCTGATAATTGACTTTGTATAAAAAATTCAGCCAATTGCAAGTATAATAGAGCAGTTGCTTCATTTGCTTCATTTTTTTCCCAAGAAAGTTACCCTAAATTAACTGTAATTTCTTAAAACTTTTTTTATGTCTTCCCTGATCAGTACAGATATGCCCTTCTCAAATGAAAGCCAAAACCTTGCCAGGCTGACCAATGGAGTCGGATATATGAATGGTCCAACCAATCAGAATGAACCTCTGGAAATCAGCTTGGAGAGACCAACCAATAAGAAAACAGAACCCAAAGTGATTGACAATGAGGAGACCGTATCCGATTGGAGCAAGTTCAAAACAAAGTACTTGAACATGTTCAGCTGTCAAGATGATTCTTGAGTGGTTGTTATTTGTGTTAGAGAGTTTATAAGCTTCAAACTGAATTCTTTTCCAGGGGTTTTGTGAAATATAAGAGGAACAGCCAACCTTATCGGAAAGAGCAATGCAAACGAAGGACTGGGGTGAAATCTATGACCACAAAGCCGTAAAGAAGGAACTACGTACCCAGCAGAAAGGTAGATATTTCAGTCTCAACTTTCCAGTTTTTTCATCCAGAGCTTGTATTTTGCAGTAATTTTTTTGAAAGAAAAGCGTCAACGTACAGGGAAAAAGATAATTTTCCTCTTTTTTTTTCATCCTTTTTTGCTTTGCCCGGCAGATGTATGGACTGTGACACCCCCTTCTGTCAAGGTCACACCGGCTGCCCCCGTGGCAAGATCATCCCTTCCTGGAATGACCTCGTCTTCAGAGGTTGAGGCTGGAGGTCACCAACAACTTCCCAGAATCCAGCGGGAGATGGCTGCCCTGCTCCCTGTGAGGTGAGACTCCAAGCAAAACGGAATCTTCTCCCTGGCTGTATTTTTGTTTGTGGCTATTTAAGAATGCCATGAAGGCATCACCAATTTGTCATGACCTGCTGTGAACTTGTGAAAAATTTGGGGCTGTACCAATGTGTTGAAAGGAATTTCAGGAGGATATGTGGGAAAAGGCATACGAATGCACAAAGACTAAGTAGAAGTTGCATTGAAATGATGCAATCAATTATAAGGACTCCAGAAAACCTGATTTTGTTTCTGTTTGTGACTGTGCCGTTTCAGGTTAGCATAAAATATATTCTTATCAATATCTTCTTGATTTTTTTTTTATCCATTCCCTTGGTATGAAATCAGTCAAGAGACTAATGCAGTAATCATTTTTCGTGAATGTTCCAGGGAGCTTGTGTCCTGGGCATCAATGCACCAGCAGTCACCATCAAGAACATCGAGAATGCCATCATCGACCATGCCTTCAAGCAAGGCTGGATGGAGCCCCGCCCCCCAACCTTCCGCACCGGTAAAACCTTGGCAATTGTCAGGAGCGGGCCATCAGGTCTAGTGGCCGCGGCCCAGCTGAATAAAGCCGGTCACCAAGTGACAGTGTACGAGAGGAATAACAGGATTGGTGGTCTGTTGATGTACGGGATACCAACGATGAAGGTCGGCAAGGCAGTAAGTATAACAATCCTCACCCTCTCTCAGCCCATGCGTGCCTCTCTCACAAAATGAGGAAAATGTCACTTGAAGATTTACTTGGAAGCACTCCACTTTAACACAAGTAGGAGTTTTTGTGTACTTACAGGCAATCCAAATTCAAGATTTTAATTGCACGACCAAATTATGCAAGAAAGAGTGAAGTTTACTTCAGTTCTTTAAAGTATAGAAATGAGCCTTTAACTGAAAGCATTACAAACTTCCATCTTAATTTTCTCTTTCTATCCTTTGACTGAACGTTTCTTGCCTGCTAATATCATCCTCAAAGGTCCAGTGCTTTTAGACTGAATAATTACATTCATATAGGAATTAAATTAAAGTTCTTGGACACAGCTATTTACAAGTGTTTTTGTTCCATGGCTTGATCATGTCATTTAGCATCGAATTAACGTGATGGAGATGAAGGGATTCAGTTTTTGACCGATGCCAACGGAGGCGCCACCGTCAGCCCCAAACAGCTCCTGCTAGACCATGATGCATTGCTGCTCTGCCTAGGGTCCACACGCCCCTGAGACTTGCCCATACCTGGTAAGAATGTGACAGTAGGGACCAGTCTTAACTCTAATTACAGTTCAGCCATTCTGTTGGTCAAGAGCCCATCTTGTGGCTGGTCGTAAAACAATTGATGAAGCACTGGCTGGCTTTGTGCCACCTCGGGCAGTATGCACCCTTTGCTAGCCAATCTCCATATAAGGAGATTTTGTGTGACTACTCACGAGAGGAACATACCACAACATGGCTAGAGGGGTGTATAAAGGACTCAAGGGAAACTTGAACGAAATCATTGGCAGTTTGCAGTTTTTGAAACTTGTTTCTGCTTTGAATCAAAAGGTAAATACCTTGGGAATAAATTTATGCTTGGCCAGTTTGTTTGAAAACTGGCTCAGGAGAATGGACGCTAATAAATTCTTCTAATAAAGGATCTTTTCAGTCTGAATCTTGGTCTTAAAGTTGCATCCCAATAACGCTTTTGTCCGTCAGACCAACCAAGCGCTTGGTCCGAGCCCCCTGCATGTATACACACATCGCATCAACACGGGATCTTGAACATTCGTGCATGCACATTATGCATGACCTGTGACCTCAAAATAGTCTCGTTCAAATAAAACATTATTTAAAATGGCTCTGAAAGTTTGAAATCTTAATTTTGAAAGGTAGAGTCTTGGATTTTCAAAGAAAGCTGTTCTGATATATTTTTACAATTTTCTCTGCTTCATTTAAATTTTCAGTTTGCCCAGTAGAGTTTTAATTGGGTTTTAGAACTCTGGGCTGACCTAATGACCTTAAAGTCTGCTTTAAGCAACGTGGTTGCTTTCGTCGCACATTGTGCATTCACACAACTTCGCAGACATACATCTTTCTCCATATCACCTTGCCAATCTGAGCAATTTTATTACAGCATCGCTGGTTTTGAAAAGGAAAACATGGTTCCAAATCCTTCAAGCCCGAATCCCAGAAAGAATTTCTGGAACCAGCTTCCAGCAGAAATGAAAATGAAGTTCGGAAAAATTAGTTACAAAGTTGGTTAATGGGGCATTCGTTATTTTTTGTGTCCTTAGATTGTGACCACGGTCAGTCGGTTGTGGTCCAAGCCATCAATGAGGGACAGCAGGTGGCGTGGGAGATTCACCTAGACCTAAGGGTCACACATCCTTGGCTGGCCCTGGAGGTGTGGTCTTCACCCCTGGTGTCAAAGTGGACAAGGCCAAGATGGTGGCCATCAAGAACCAGCCCATGGTGGAATGTGTGGCTTGAAGGGTCAGTGGAGAATGTAAGGGGGGTGGGGCAAGAGAAATGAATATTCATGAGATGAAGTCATTGTTGCATGTGATTGGATCGAGCCAGGTGTGGACAATGTCATTTTATACATAACTTTTATCTTTCCATTGTATAGCGCACTCAGGCAGCAGTGCACGAAGGTGATGGACCAAACTCAACTTGCTAGTTGTGAATTTTTTCTTTCCTTCTCTGAAATTATCTTAGCTGGAGCAGAGACCAAATTCGCCATAAGTCCAATAACGTACAAAATTTCATAGTAATTTTCTGTTGTACGTGACCAAGTCGTGGTGATATGTTACCATAGAAATGATTGTGCTGATTACACATCGTTGATGTGGTGCCCGCCTGTGGTGTCAACTGAAAAACCAATAAGGTCTACAACACGATGAGTTTGAATTCCACGGTGAAACCTTATTTTGCTTTTTAATGTTTCAGCATATTTCTCTGCTTGAAATAGCTGTCAGCAAATTGTGTAGTTGACTCTAGTTCATTTTAAAAGTACAACGTATTTCTTGTTCTCCAAGTAGTTCAGATCGATGAGAGACAGTGAGATGCATGATGGTCTAGAAGGGATGGGGCGGTGCCTCACTCAGAAAGGGGGGGGGCAGGTAAAATACAAACAGTCATTGCCTGAAAGATTCCAATGTTCATGACTAGATTTGTGATGACATGTTGGAGCTAGATTCATATATGGAGAGAGTAGTGTCAGCTTCAGGTTTTGGAAACAAAAGGGCTGTTCATTATGCCTACAGTAGAGCATGCAGCTACTGTAAACCAGCTGTCTATGTGCACCTGTGCATACACCTGCCAGTTTGTGTCCAACCATGGTGACACTCATGTCACAACTCCCTCCTCACACAGCTCTGATTGGAGGTGCCTCTCACCTTTGGTTGGCTGTAGTCATCAGCTTTTCGTTGTACTTGGGTTCTATGCTCAATCAATGCAATGCCAAGGTAAAAACTGAAGTGATTCGTTTTTCATCTATAAATGCCCGTAACTGTGCTGACAGAGATGAGCAGAAACTAACCATGAATATTAGTCAGTTATTTTCAGATTTTGAAATATAGATGTGTCTTCCAATTAATCTTTGGGTAATCTTTTTTCTGCCTGCACTTCCATGAAATTTCTTTTACTTCTTTAATCGCAATACTTTCAAACATTTGAAGTACTGTGGCATTTGTTTTAATGCTGCTCTTCTGATTTGATTTGGACGTGGATGTGTGTCTGAGTTATTGTGTTCAGCACAAATAACTTGGACACTTCATTGGTGATGAAAAGGCAGAAGTTTAAGAACATTTATGAAACCTTCCTTTATAAGTATATTTAGAATATATAAATTTCAATTTATCATGTGATCCTGCTTCCTGTTAATAACATTGACTTTTAAATGATTTTTCAAGTTCATTCACACTGGTGTTGTCAAACGTCCATTTAACAGTAACGTTTGCTTGACTCGTGTGAGAAGTCTTCAATTCAAAAGGGTATCAAGACACTGAAGTGAGAAAATATACGTAAACGTACATTATCTATCTTTGATGTTTGGATCTCAGAATTTCTCGATATGCATTGTCTTCAGTGTATGCCTTTTCACATTACCCTCAAAAGGAAGTCTCACGCTAATTCGGCGAAACCTTGCAAAATGGCTCAAATAGCATGTTTGAATTCCTAATGCGTGTAATGTGTCAGTACAGTGGTTGATGGTATCCGCATTCTATATGTAAAGATGAATTGTACGTAATATTCTTTACATGCTACAGTTGTGAAAACTGCTGATATTGTCTTTAATATGTTTGCCTTGTAACAATTGTCAGATAATTGTACCTGTGTTCATCACCTCAAAGGGGATGTCCTGCAGGAACTGAATACAGGGAAAATCTTTTCCAAATGACTTGAAAAAGACAATACGGTCATTAGAGTTTAACTTACTGCTTGTTTAATATTTCAGTATGCCTCATTAAAAAAATCTGGGCACCTTCAACATAGACAATAGTTCCCTGCTGTGTCTAACGTCATCCTGTGAAACCAAATACTCCACATTTTTGGCCTCATATTACTCTTGCAGGTGTCATAATAAAGTACCAAAAATGGACCAGTGGTTGTAGCCTGAGACACAAGTCAGAATGACACAAAGCTGTGACTTGAGAAATTGGACTGCCTTTTGCTCAAGGAACTTGTATGTATAACAAACAAAGCTGTCAGGTGCCCGGTGAAGGGTTCTTTTATACATGTGACACCTCTAACGAAAGATAATTTTTGGTATGTAAGAGACCTCCAGATCTTAATATTGAT